TAATTATATAAAGCTTCAAAACGATAAATAATTCAAATACAATTTTTCATACATTATGCTAGCGTACATTTTTATCAGATTTTTACAAGATATCAAATGACCATCTTACCATCTTATAAATTCCTAAATTAAGTATTTAATTAAGGAAATGTTAAATAAATAGTGTAAATTATAGGATCCTTGTTATTTAATTTTTTCCAAAATGAGACGTTGTGCAATACTAGGTTTCAGCAACAAATTAACCAAGTGTAATTACAGCAATATAAATTTTGACTTCTTACCTCGGTGTAATATTTGAAGAAGACACTCCAAGAGATTTGAAACGACTTTTCTAGCCAAGTCTACACATTAAAATGATTTGAGTTATCAAACAAAAATCCCCTCCCCAGTTGCATTTCTGCCTCTATGAAACTTGGGAAGTTAAGATGCCGTGACGTACATCGAAATAATCCTCTCCTTCCAGATAATCAGGGTTTGAGTACTCAAGTATGGAAAATTGATTGATTTTGTTCGTGTAATCGGTGATAGAAATATCGTATTTCATGTTTAACCTCAAAAAGTCTAGCACATATTACGTCTTAGAATCGTGATCTGTGAGTGATCAAGGATTAAGAGACTTACGCAAAATCCTTTTAATCTGTCTACTTTCTGTAAACAGGCTGTTAAAAAGTTTGGCCAAGAATCAGATAAGGCTTCGTCGGAATAAAGTCGATAGTTGGCATGAAAACAATATGCACTGACCTGTATAGATATTTACGTTAGAGCATACTGCTGCAGAGGCCATCGACAGTCATTTTACGAATCGTGACACAGGAACGAAAATATAGCAAGCATGCGCCTTATGGACTAAAAAAAGGGCATTAATATAATTATAAAATTCAATGCAGGCCTAAGCAATGTTTAAGATTATGCATTGCAAATTAATGTCGCAAAGTGAATTTCTTAACTGTGAATGTAGTACCGATGGTGAGATTTAAAATATAATAAACAGTACGTAAATAATAAAACAACGATTAAAATTTAATTTCACAACTATTTGGTTTCATTTCTCGGTATTTTTTATACTAGAGCAGAGCGCTCCTTTCGGAGCTCCTCGGGGGGGGTTGTTGAAGTTTTTAAAACGCAACCAACTCCCCCTTGGGGGGGGTTGGTGAAGTTTTTAAAACGCAACCAACTCCCCCTTGGGGGGGGTTGGTGAAGTTTTTAAAACGCAACCAACTCCCCCTTGGGGGGGGTTGGTGAAGTTTTTAAAACGCAACCAACTCCCCCTTGGGGGGGTTGGTTGAGTTTTAAAATCGTGTGTAAGAAACTAAGCCAACCCCCCCCCCCCCAAAGGGGGGGTTAAAAAACTTGTTTTTATAGTAGATAACGTCAAGAGTGCAATAGTGTTCTCAGTTTAAATAACATATATTTGCTTTGTTCTAAACTTGTTTTAAACGCAAATATATTGTTTGCGAAATAATTCAGTCGCACTACACATTGCATAGACTTACAAATTATTTTTGAAGATGCGCTATACATAAAAATATAAATCATACTTGTAGATCTTAAAGAAACGTATTTTATGTCATGACAGATTTTAAGATGAATTGCTCCTTTGGTGAATTATAATGATTTATTTCAACTTCATGCAAAATAGGTTGTATATTAGACAGATATAGATCTAGATAATAATCCCCTGACAGTGTCTGGTGAAAACTCCCCTCCACTCAGTGCCAAATTACACCGAAGTCTGTGATTTAAAGGTGAAATATTAGACCTGACGACGCACGATATTTCACTAGGTTGTGATACGTCAGGTTCTCATGACAGCGAGTATGAAGAATACTTGTCTTATATTACGCCTTGTAATCTGGTAAAAGTTTACCGACGTTTCATAGGTACTTGCTTCCTTTATTACTAGAGAGTCGCGCGGCGTACTTATATTTCTTCTCAATATCTATAAATGTAAAGATTAAAATATCAATTGATAAACCTGAGATATTATTAAAATTAAGGATTTCAGGTTCTCACGGCGATGAGTCCAAAGGTGGCTGTCTTCTGGGTTTTAGCGCCATGTAGTGTCTAATAGAAATTTCGAATGTTTCAGAGGTCGTTGCTGCCTCCATCATCAGGGTGATGAGCAATGACCTCTGAATCACTAGTAAACTTCCACCGGATTACACGCCGTTGCAACCCGGAATATAGCCATTTTAATGCCAATAACCATATGTGACTTTCACCGCAGGAGCTGTTGCCATCTTGTGCAAGGATGTGCGTACTAACTAAACTGGTGCAAATATCGACGCCACAGAAGACCACAACGTTGCTAGTTTTACTCCGTAGATAATACATATTTGTGTACTCTGTGTTTATAACCACAGTTCCTGTGATTGACGTTGTTTGGATCAGTGTATATGGAAATAGAGCAATAATTATGACAGAAACTCAAGACGTAGTGTCATCAAAAAATGTAAAATTTAAAAATAAAACCAAGAAACAGTTCAGGAAACGAACTGACTCTTCAGAAGAAAGTAATGACAGTGAGGAAGAAAGGAGTGATAATGATGTCAGGTAGAAAATAGTACAGCATAACCTCATGAGATTGTAGTTGTTATGTTTGATATGTAAGTTATAATTAAAATCAACAATGTTCTGTCTTTCCAGTTTAAAATTGGAGGAAATGAAGACCTTACAAAAACTCAGGAAAAGGCAGAATGGAGTTAGCATTGTCAGTTTGGCATTTGGGAAAAAGGCTACTACTGAGGATGAAACACTAGGGGTAAGTAAAGGGAATATGAAATTTGAGGTTAATAACAGACTGGTATATCTTCTAAATACAGTGACTGCATGGTGTTTTTACCCAGTTCCACTAATATTGCTAATAAAATTAAATATTTTTGTTCGTATTTAAGCTTGCTTTTCCATATGCCCAGCAGATATTAATTATTTGATAGATAGTGTTACTTTTGGTTATGCCAGCTGTTCATTGTGGCCGAGGATTTTCAGGGCTAAATGAATTCTATGAAAGGTTTGGAGGTAGATGTCGGATGTCAAGTAATATTATCATCCACATAACATTATTTATGCCAAACATGCTGCAGAATGCATGGCTTATGAATGTTAGACCTAATATAACATAAACTGAGTTTGAACTTACTTAATCCATTAACGCAAAGAAATTGAGGCTGCTGTACACACACACATCAACTCTCTCCTTTCCTCCCTTTCTTCTGCCCAGCCCAGCTACAATGCTACAGGTGAGTGAATTGTTTTATTCCATTTGTTACAGTCCTTTGAAGTTGTGTTAGGTTAAGTCAATTTTTTTTTGTATCTACAGTCTGTAATCTTAGTTGTTAGGTTTAGATGTCTTAATTTGGCTCATCAACATTGCAGACTATTAATAAGTGAATTATTCTGTCTCTCCCTCCCTCCACTTATAGTATGTTCATTCTCAGTAGTTTATTATACTTAGGATGGTACTGTATTGTACTTGTTTCAGCTCTGGGAATGGTTGTTCATGCCCTTCTCTGTTTTTATGACTGTGTCATGTGATTTTACAACTGTTTTACAAGGCTACTTTCAAATGTTTTGTTTCTTTTAATTTCTTTTGTAGACTGATCCATTTAAACTGAAAACCGGAGGTATGGTACACATGAAAGCACTCAAAATAAAACGTATGGATGATGCCTATAGCACAGGGATTGGAACACAGTTTTCTGCTGAAACAAATAAGAGGGATGAAGATGAAGAAATGTGAGTTGCATCTTTTATTATTATGACACAGTAGTTTTATAAAATTTAATTCAGTGACTGATGTAGACTTCACAGCTCGGTTCAAAAGTTATGAAATACTGCTATTAGTTGCATCACTTCATGATAAATATAAAGTTAGAAGAAATCACAATATATTAAAACTTGCTACATTGCAACAGTAATAACCGTGATCGTGTAATACATTATCACAGCCTCAATCCTAAGTTGAGGTCTCATCTCAGGTTTAGCATTTAACTAGACTTGGAGTAGGAAAGTTCTTTACAGGTTTCTACATCTGTGATACAGGATGAAGTATATTGAAGATCAACTGTCAAAGCGGAAAGGAATAATAAAGACAGAAGACGAACTACCTATAAGTGAGGATGTCAAGTACTGTTCCCCAGAAGAGGCTGCTCTTCAAGCAGTGCCTGACCACCTGCGTGCCTCATCCACACATCGCTCAGAGGAGATGCTGTCTAACCAAATGCTAAGTGGAATCCCAGAAGTAGACCTCGGCATCGAGTGAGTCTTGTCAGAGCAGAAGTTTGATCCAACCGTCTTTAACTTGAGAGTTTCATATGCCCCTGGTTTATTTAAAAATTGATTTTTACAAATACCATGATGAAGACCATAATGTATGTAATATTAAACTTGATCATACAGAATTAGTTTGAAGAGATGTAAATATGATTAATTTGGAAAGCTTCTTTTAACAGAGAGTACTCTGTATTTGTATAAAGGTGTATTGACTTGTAAGATTTTTCTTTTAACAGAGAGTACTCAGTATTCGTATAAAGGTGTATTGACTTGTAAGATTGTGGTTATGTTGTGTGATTATAATATAGTAAAATATTCCATGGACACAAATATAAGTCTTGAAGTTATACTAACCAACTTGGTGGTACATGGTCATCCTTGAATAGATTATAGTTAATTATCAAAATGTGAAATTTCCTATTACAGAAAGTGGAAGCTCATCACCACAAAGGCTTATCATTGGATTTTATTATGAACCAGTTCAATCCAGTTTATGTCTACATGAAATATTTTTCAAATATATTTCAGTATTTCCTCCAATCTACAGATGTTTCTCACAAGGTTTTTTCAACCAAAATCTAATAAAATCATTCCTTGCAGTAGGTTATTAAAGTAACTTGTATTCATCATGTTTCAGTGCTAAGATACGTAACATAGAAGCCACTGAAGAGGCGAAGTTGAAACTGCTGTGGGAGCGTCACAGTAAGAAAGATGGCCCATCACAGTTTGTACCCACTAATATGGCTGTCAACTTTGTACAGCATAACAGATGTAAGTTCATTCATATGTTTTTTGTATCTATAAATAATATAGTCCAAGACTGTTCAGTGGTGCCTGAGTTAATATCTTTTAGGAGACCAAAAACAGGAACCCAGCATTTTTTACTTTGTTGCATGAGAAATCACTGTGTAATAGTTACATATAACCTGTACAGTGATACTTTATTCTGCATTAGTGATCCAGATTTTTATTTCTTGAAAGATGGATAACAGTATCAGCATTGATACAACAAATAGGTCAGTGTGTGGGTTAACAGATTGCTTTCTAAGAATAAGTTGTAACTATATTTACTAATTTCGTTACAAGAGTTCTGGAAATAATATTTTTTCCGTATTTATTTACTACGTTTTAATATCTGTTGTATTTTCCAGTTAACATTGAAGACCCAGAACCACCTAAGAAACGAGAAAGGCAAATGGAAGAAAAGACAAAAATGGTTGTTGTGGGATCAGCACCTGAAGATAAAGTGAAACGGTCGAGAGACAATGGAGAGAAAGCTACAGATGACTATCACTATGAAAGGTTTAAGAAACAGTTCCGACGATACTGATTCAGAATCAAGAGTGGCTTTGAAGAAAATAAAGTAACATTTATGGTGGAAATCCACACTCCTTATCCTTACTTTTCTCATTTCAATCTATATCTTTGTAAATAATGACAGAAACTTCAGTGAGCATTATTGAATCGGAAGGTTTGGTTTTACCTAAGCACCATGCCATGGAGGTAAAGCTGTCGATGTTCAAATCTCAGTACCAAATATAAGTGAATGGTCTTCATACTCTGTTCATTATGACCTAAGGGAAGGAAATGCTCAGTACCCATGGAATTGGCCATGCAGCTATATTGGGGCTTTCAATAAACACTTCAAATAATGCATTGAATCAGAACCTCCCCCCCCCCCTTTACAGTTGTTAGTAAGCACTAAAATTTCAATCACTCCGGCCATAATGCATTTTATAATTTTTAGAAGATAGTAGATGATTCTTAACATGTCATCAGGAAAGTCAGAGAGAAACAGGAAGGGCTTGAATTGTATGGTCTGCACCAGGTAAGAATGCAGAAACTCTTCTGGAAAATGACCACTGAGTAGACCAAGAAGGATATGGGAGGATAATGTCAAGATGGATCTCAGGGTGGTGGGCTTTGCGTCTTCGCGCACCATCTCAGTTTTGTAGGTAGATGACTGCATGTCTGAATCAACGGCTTCCAGACCATTGGATTGACTGAGGTGGTCCAGTTGCTTGGCCAGCGAGATCGCCAGATCTTTCGCCTTTGGACTACTTTTTCTAGGGCCACATGAAATCCCTGGTAAATGCCATAAAGTCAAACAGTAGGACTGAGCTGCTGAATCAAATGAAATCTGGTGCTAACGTGAAGCTCTGCGAGGAAGGCTGTACTTCAATTACACATAGGGCTCAGGTGTGCATCGCCATTTAGAGTCACGTAAATGATGTAAGTAATTGAAGGTGCAATTTAGAGTGTAATCTAAACTTATTAATAACAATAATAACAATGTAACCAAAAATTGAATGGAAATAATGTAAAAGTTACAAATGCAATAAAATGCTCATTTTCTTGACAAACCATGTTTATTTGAACTTTTCGACTCAAAATTATCTCAAGGGCACGTAGTTAAGCTATGGATATTCTGTTGTGGGGCATTTGTAAAAGAATTGTAAATTTATGTTTGAAATGAGCGCCTGTCTACCAGGCATTACAATCTATGGTAGGTTGCAAAGTCAGAAATAGTTGCTACACACTTTGTAAGTCCTTAAACCTGCATGCATCTTCTTTTTTCTAATTTATAGTTTCGGGTAGTTTATTAATATTGTTTGCAATGGATAACTGCCACTTTTTAACTCATTTTAAACTTGCGATGTCATTTGATGGAGCCTGGGTGTTGGTAACACCGTCATCGGCAGATGTTTTGTTTTTCCCGTGCTCTTTCTTGTTTTCTTTCTATTTTAAATTCGAATATTGGACTTCGGACGGTTTAAAGTGCACTTGAATTGTTGAACTTTAATCAGTTGGGGTTTGAAAGCTGGTTGTATAATTTTCCGCACAGTTGCTGTGAAACGTACTCGAAAATTTGCAAGATTGGCAAAATGGGATCTGTTGCAAAGGTATGTTCCTATATTTAAAATAACGCTGAATCTAATTCTTTTAACAACTTTTCTTTTATTAACCAGGATTACGAGATTTATCAGTGATACTAAACTTTCCTTAATTATTAATTATTACTCGCTTCGGCGGTACATATAATAAAATTGGAGCGATCTTGGGATCCTAAGAAGAGAGAAGGCATTAACAAGTTGTCCTGCACGCATTAGGCCAAGGTGTGTAGTTTTGATTGGTGTCGATGTACAGAACAATGACCAGGCCCATTAATTGCTTTGAAACAGTTTGTGTTCATAACCTTAAAACTCAAATTCAGTTAGAGGATAGAAGGTTTTAGAATAGTTTATGCCCTGTCTAGTAACTGGAAATAAATACCACATTCATCAACAAGTAGATCTATATGTAATTACTATAAAATATTAATTCCTTTTAAATTTAGAAAAGACATTCAAACTTCAAACAGATCCACATTTGTGAAGATGGCTGTCTTATACCTGTACCGTGCATATGGTAATTTCAATGGTGCCGAGATAGAGGAAGAAAATCCAAAAATTACAGCTGAATTATGATTACTACTTTGTGGCTTACTGTTTATTATTAATTGTAATTTAACAAAGTATCACTTCTACTTAAGTTTTTATGTACATTGTAGAATCATATATGTAAATGTTTGGAAAAATCAATAAAAATTATTTGTGAGAACTTTCCAATAATTGTAAGATTTGAGGTTTTCACAGCGGTGAGTATGAAGATTTCTGTCTTCTGGGCGGTGATGATGGAGGCAGTATGACCTCTGAAACGTTGGTTAACATTGACCAGTCTACACAGCGCAACAACCCAGAAAACAGAATTTTTTCTAATAATTGTTTTTATTTTCTGAACTTTTGGATTTTACCATGTCAACAGCAGTTTGTAGGCCATTCATAGATCTCAATGGATAGTCTATGTCATGATGACATTTTATTTCATGTATGTATATCATGAAAAGTAGCAATTATATTCAACCACTGTGAAACAAACGTTTGCATAACAGCTTCTGTCTAGATATTAATTTGAAATTGCATTGCCATCTTTTTAGTAGTTTGGCTGTTAAGTATGTGAATAGATGGATATGTATGTGCATTTCTCATTGTGCATTTATTTTGTTGAGTTCATCTAAAAACAATCAGAAAATTCTCTGTACCTAAATAAAAGTTCTGTGTTAGGAGTCAGTATTTTCAGCTTTCCTGTCAGGATATTTTTGGAATTCTTGTTGGTATGTATGGAATATTGTTGTCTCAGAACCACTAAACCCATAGCCTCAATGTTAGGGATGTGATATTGGGAGTTTCCTATACAGGTCATAATTTCAAAGAACCTCAAATACTTTAAATTTAGTATAAGCATGCAGGTCTTGAAATGATGTATTCAGTGTTGTAATTTAGAAGTATCACTTATCTTATGATATGTTTTGCAGGATATTTGAACAGACAAAGTTTTATTTGATTTTATACGTCATCAGATAAGCAGGACAGAACTTTCATAGTAAGGCTTCTTATAGACAGTTAGTTTAAATTTGCTCATGTGGACTTTGAAATGAGTAAGATAATTGTTTGGTTTTGCTTAATATAATCACTTAACACCACCAATTGATAGAAATTTCCTTGCATGTGCAAGGTCCAAAGTGTATTCATTTAACCTTGCAGTCTGAAATCTTTGAACCTATAATGATTAGACTATGGGCTGAATGAAGCTAACCACTAAACCTCTATCTAGTCCCCAGGTTAAGAATGCGTGGAATTATACTCCATTCCCCTCCACACATGTATGGTATGGTGCTTAGTTAAAACGTGTTCTTTCATAGTGTAGTTGATTGTGGTGGACTATATTAATTTTTTCTCATCAAAAGATTTACATAGGTGACCCAACAATATAATTCTTATGACTGAAAATTTTTTTATGGTTAAACATGAATGTTATATGCAGCACACTACTTTACACATGTAGGCATATAAATATTTGTATTTTCTGAGGAAAAGTAAGTATATAATATCATCATGCCTGTTCTTTGTTCATGTATCTGCTTCTTTTCCCTCAATAACTTTTGAATTAGAAGTGGCGGTCTTCTGTGTTGTAGCACTGTATAGTCTGTACTGCATGGTTCTATAACAACCCAGAAGACATCTACTGACTCACTGCCATGAAAATTTTGAATCTAACTTTAAATTGGTTGACAGAATTTTATAAAATGACCAGAGGTTGCTCACCTTCATATTTTAAATATTTCCATCATCATTAATACATAGCTGCATTAACTTGTGGAAGTACGAGTGACCCTAGACCCCTTTCACCCCTTGCAGTTCATGTATAAACTGTTCAAGCAAGCTTCAGGCAACCCTGGTCTTTGAGTTATACAGTGTTATGTTTCTTCTTTTACAATTTTTGTATCATTTATCTAAGATTTAACTGCATTGTCATATATGTCTACTCAAATTTCTTGTAGTTCTAAATATTAGATATTATTTATTTGTTTCAGCTTGCTCGCAAAAGTCTGTGTTCAAGGTTGAGGGCATTCTCGAGTGCTGCAACAGATGGAAAACCTTCAGGTGGTGTTTGCTTTGGTATGTTAGAAGTTGTTCATAAAAAAAATTTTAACTACTGAAATGGTCAATAAATAAATTACTTTGGATGCCCCTTGTTCAGCAATGCTTGTTATATTTATATTTTTTCAGAACTGTCTGATGAACAGAAAGAAATCCAGGATCTTGCAAGGAAGTTTACAAGAGATGAAATCATACCCAAAGCAGCAGAGTATGACCGAACAATGGAGTATCCATGGGATATTGTCAAGAAGGCATGGTCAGTGGGCCTCACCAATTCCAGCATCCCCAAACACTGCGGTATGTAAATCAGATGATGCCCCAGAGGAGAAGTAGTAATTTATTGTCACTTTTTCCCACAACTCATGTTTACATATCGACCAGACTACACAGCGCAACAACCCAGAAGACAGAAATCTTCATACTCATCATCCTGATGACGGAGGCAGTATGACCTCCGAAACGTTGGTTAACATCGACCAGACTACACAGCGCAACAACCCAGAAGACAGAAATCTTCATGTTTACAACTTTGGAAACTAATTAGATCAATTTATACCTTGGTCACTCCTGAAATATGATTCAAACAACAAAATACAAGATGTCTTCTGGGATGTTGCACTGTGTAGTGTGGTTGAAATTTACCGACATTTTAGAGATGTGCTTCCTGCCTCTATTATCAGGGTAATTATCACCCTGGTGATGGAGCCAGCAAGCACCTCTGAAATATTGTTAAACTCCTACCAGACTACATTCATCTTCATACTTGCCACTGTGAGAACCTGAAGTCTAAACAAAATACAGTATCATTTCATCCTTCAGAAAGGAGGAGTCAGTGCTTCTGATTAAATGTAATCTGTTTAGTTTGGCTTGAACATGAAGTTTGTTAATACATGTAGAATATCAAATAAAAGTGTTCTGTAACGGTATATGAATATGATATTACAATTTATTATAATTTTTTCTGTTAAATTCAGATACCTTTATTAACATGTCAGGAATATTACAGGTGGCGTGGAGATGGGTGTTTTTGAAGGCTGTTTGATTGCTGAAGAACTGGCATATGGTTGTTCCGGTATGAAGACTGCAATTGAGGGTTCCGGCCTAGGGGTAAATATTGTTATGTTAATCCAAATTGTTTTTTATTTAAATGACCCAGTGGAACAAATTCCTTGAGACATTAATAGTTGGTACAATGTTTACAAGTCTGTTTCACTTTCGTATCCTGTGCCTGGTGAGTACACCCCTATTTTAGTATTATCTACTTATCTGTGCCTGTGTCACCCAAGTGGTCACTTCCCTCCAGGTTTCTCAGCTAAAATTTTGTGTGGTATTCTTATCTTTCCCATGTATTTTATTTGTAAATGGAGAGACTTGTGATTTTATCTTGGTGTTAACTCTACAAATGAAGAATAATTTTTCTCCCTCCTCATGAAATCTGTAAAGTATGAAGTTAGGAAAGATAAAGCTGGCCCTGTACCGAAATAGTTTGCAAAATAATGTCTGGGGAACCTGGAGGTATTCTTAACCTCAGCATAAGATTTAAAATTTACAGCACTGATAATTTATAAGAAAAAGGCAAAGTTA